TCAAGAAGGGGATACGGGGATCCTGAAAGTGAGCCGAGCGTCTCGGGGCAGAGCGATGTGGCGAAGAGGAAAGGGCCACGGGAGCCGCTTGCCTTTTGGATAATTCCTGCCCTTGTCCACGAGTCTTGTGCAGCGTCACTCTCTTGTCTGTGTGTGGCATGTGGAGCTGGGGTTTTATATGGCATTTGCGATCCAAGCGAGGTCACGCTTCCTTTTTTTAAAATTCATTGCTTTGGGTACAGTATATATATCTCTCTCTTTTTCTTCTCTGGTAGTGGGGTGGGCCGGGAGGGACGCTTGTGACACCGGAGGGAATGTTTACTTGTGCAGAAGTCTTTCTCATGTGGAAGCACGCTTCTCCCTAACTCCTGGCTAAGCAGACTTCAGTTCACCAACTTTGCTGCCGTACAGCACGTGTAACTCCTTGACAGGATGGCAGATAAAAGAACAGCTGGTGCAAAGCAATAGGGGATTCATAACAAGGAGGAGGAAAGAAAATCACAAACCTTTCACCCTCACCATTGACATCCGACAATTGTCAGAGCAGCAGTCGCGACGGGACGAGCTGAAGCCACCATGCGCAGGTCTAGCACGGATGAGTCGACCTATCACAGGAGCCCTTCCCTGGACAGCAAGGATTACAGTTTCCCAAATGGCGCCTTTCGTCGCTACAGCAGCATGTATGGTGGCCAGTTTGGGGCTGCCAGCAACTCTTTTTTTGGATTCCATACCAACCCAGGCCCTAAGGCCACCAAGGCTAAGTACACGTCCCCCAAGGGAAACAAGTACGTTGTCTTTTACCTGGATCTCTCATTTATTTTTCTCCTAGAACTGAAGAGGTGCAGCATGGCTCACAACTGCCTGCAGTGTATCAAGTACCTAATGTTTGTCTTCAACCTTCTCTTCTGGGTGAGTACATGTTTGAAACTGCGAGACGGTTGCATTTGTGTCTGCTTACTAAGGTGGAAGGTGAACTTGTTGCTGCTTTTAAACTTAGAAGTTTAAACTTGGAAGTTGAACAAAGTGGTGCATAGGCTACACTTTCTGTGGCCTCATTAACTTGTGTGGACAACCTACTGAGGGTTTCCTGGCCTTCAGCCATGTTACAAGGCAAAAAGAGTGTGTTTATAGAGGCTAGTTGCATGAATGCCGTCATCACTTTGTTCTAGTAAGAACCGTACACTCTTTTTGTGGCCCTGATCTTTCATTCTCGGCATGTGCTTGCCTCAAAAGTTATGCATACTCTTAGAGAAATCACTGAGGCCGTTTATGATTTTAAGGTTGAGCACATGCTTACGTCCATCGCTGTGTTGCAGGTGACGCACACTGATCACAACATTAAAGCCTGTATCAGGAATCTCCAGGTGATCATTCTCTGTCCCAGTCAGTGATGGGTGCTAGCATTGCCATTCCCCCCTGAAGATGTGGCTCTGAAGGGTGGAGGGGAGACCAGAGCCCTCCTCACTTCTTCTGGGGCTGCTATGCTGTGGCAAGAGCTTATCAAATCACTACGAGGCATGCGTGTGTCAAGAGGACACTGTGATGGGACGTAGGGGCGTGCATCTCCGCATCATCTTTTTAATGAGGTGGTTGTCAACAGCAGGGTGGGTGGGCATTTCACTGCCATGAAATGGAGCACAGGCTGTAGACAAGAGACTAAAGCAGCTCAGTGGAGTGTTCAGGTTACAAACACTGTTTGTCCTCTAAAAAAGGGAGTAGCACAATTGTTAGGGGAGGGGACGGCGTGATTTCTAGTTCAAAGTCTCCCATCCAGATTCCTATGTGGGAGGGTCTGTCGCGAGGTCCTCAGGAGGTGCCTTTAAATGCCTCATTCTTCCGGAGTCGTTTGTTAACATGCTGAGGGAAATAAGGGGTATCGAGAAGTGACACCACTTCTGTCCTGGCACTTAAGGAGGGGGCGTGTATTTGCAGTTGGATGTTACCATGTCTGTATTACTGAATGTCCGTGCTCTCATGAATTGTCGGAGGTATACAGAAGGGCTGTGAGTGAGATGGAAAGAGCTGTTCTCTAGTGTGCGCTGCTGTACAGCTGTTTAAAACCAGGCATGCTGCAGTGCTGGTGCATCAGAAAACACGAAGTGCAGGCAACTTCTGCTGACCTGAGTCATACCAAGGAGTTAGGATGTGATAAACAAGTGCAAGTCCACTGAATTGGTGTGGTACTAACCAGAGCTACGAAACCCAAGGAGGGTGCTCTCTTTACACCCTAGAAAGGTAGAAGACTGCAGTCTGTCTTTCAACTCTGACTCTGGTTGCTTCAGCATTCCTAAATATTGTCTAATATTTATTGCAGCTTACTCCAGACCTTTCTGAAAAAGACAAATACTGTCCTTTAAGCCTTGTGCTTCTACTGACTGTCCCTGGTTGAGATTATAGCACTGACAGCTGGTTGAAGTGTGTGCTAGAGAAATGCAATAGGATGCTGGCATTAATAGCTCTTTTCAGGACTATGCATGGCACTGCCACAAAGGATACTCACTGCATTCTGCTTCCTTTTACAATATTCATCTTCCACTGAATCGTATGCACATGATAAGAGGTACTGCTGCAAGTAATGTGGTGTGTATTTACAAAGGCAAGATGGCACATAACAGTATGTCTTTGGCATGCTTTTCAATAGGAAAGCCTCAATCCTTTGAGAGACAAGGAAAGGTTTTTGTCTTTCCCCTGAAACCATCAAAGCTGTTCTCAAATACTTGGAGGGAGAGAAAAGACTGAGGTCCCCAAAAGAGAGAATAACCATATGCCAACTGGGCTCTTTGTGAACTAAAACATACAAGCAGGGACGTGGGTGGTGTCAAATACTGCAGCACGATTTCTGTTTTGTTTCCCTCTCACTTGATACCTGCACAGCAGGAGTGATTGATGATGATCATGTCCAAATGAGGTTTGCACAGCATGTAGTTATAATAGATGCAGCTCTTCACCTTCTCACAGTGGAGAAAGTAACTGAAGAGATTATTTTAAAAAGTACTGGCTTCAGCTGACCTATCTTTAGTAAAAGCAGAAAAAAAAGTCAATTTCTAGTGATCAAAAATCTTGGAATGATTACAGGTCAATGATGCTGCTGTCTTAAGTTGTCAGCTATCTGTCATGTTTTACTTTGTGAAATTAAGGGAGAAGCGTCTCTGCAAGAAGACAGGATTTCCTTTTGCATACATATTCACAGAAGTTTTGCTGTCTCCACCTTTCCCCTCCACCCTTCTCTAGGTAGTTGGTTAGTGACAGACAATAGTAAGTAGGAAGAGGAATTGTTTTTTTCATGCTTTGACCTCCAAATAAAAACTGCAGTTATTCCCATGTATAGAGAGCAGTCATTGCATTAAATGAGTTAAATGCCTATTATAGGTTGTTCCTGGTTTTTATTCTGGTTTGAGCAAATGCTTTGATTTCCTTCAGAAATCTTATTTTCTTCTTCCTGTTCCTATTCATTAACTCCAGTCCATTTTGTGCATCCCTGCAGCCTATTTCCCAGTACTTTCAGCTATCTTTCCCACAGCATGGCAGAAAAATAGTCCTCAGCTCTGTGCAACTCCAGTGGGATTGGTGCTGCATTTCTGACAAAAAAAGACCCTTTTCTTATGAATCTGGTGAATTTCTAGGAAACAAAAATCTCAGAGACCTTGATTTTAAATGTTCCTGACAAGATTTATTGGATTAGGTGCTGCACTCATGCTGTGAAAGTTTTAAAAGCTGTCATATAACTGTGAAAACAGAGCAAATTTCTCCGCCCCGTTCTGACAGTTGAAGCGAACACAAAGCTCCTTCAGAAGTGTCACAGGCTGAGATGCCATGTCAGTGTTGGTGCTGAATCAGTCCATTGGTACAGCAGACCAGCAGCTTATTAATAAAGAGAAAAAGAATCTGATAGTCCTAGAATAGCTCTTTTCCCCATGAAGAGTGCTACACAAATTGCCCTTGGTGCATTTGCAACTATTCTGCAGTATTAAGGTACTGAAACATGGACAAAACATTAGACAGCAGCGCTGCTGCGCCAATGGGAATTGCCATTCAGAGGCCATGTCTTGGAATATTGCCAGATGCAGAGGAGCCATCATATCACTGCACTGGTTTGTAAGCTCCCAAAATAACTTTTGTCACCTGATACATTATACTTGCCTGACTTCATTCATTTTTATGGAGTTTGTTTTTCTTCTGTTGAATTGCTGAACCCTCGAGACTAAAGATCACCTCAGATGACTGCAAAGCAGAATATTTTTATTTCATAATGAAATATTTGTATTTCACTGTGAAATATGCAGGCAAGAACATTTGTTTTCCACATTCTGTCCTCCACACATCCGGAGTTTCTTTATGATAGTCAGTAAAATGAACTATTTTCTTTCTGTGCTTGTAATACAATGCTCTGCTTGCCTTATCTTTTTTTTTTTTTTTTTTGTTAAAGTACAGTAGGATATATCCTAAGGGCTGAGAGAGTGCTATAGAAAGAAAAATGTCATCTCCTTAATCCCTCTTGGCTTATGCCAGCATTCCCACTTTCTTTGACTTCTAACTCCCAACCTCCAAGACTCAAAAAAAAGGAAATGCATGGAACAGTATTTGTGTTTCCAGTGGCTCTTGCTTCCCTCAAGAGATCCTGTGCTAGAGAAAACTAGCTAGATTGGTAGCAATTTGCCCATCAAAGGACTGAATACCTATATCTGACTCTTCAGGTAATGCTTTAACTAACAGAGAAATTCAATAAAGTACCGAATTTGCAAAATGCTGTTAGAAGACTAGTTATGGAGATGAGGCAGCAACAAAAAGAAAGGAGACAAAGAAGTTTTTTATCAGACTTACCATTTATCATTTCTATGCATGTGTCTCCTTTCCATTGTTAAAACATACTAAAGTTGTATGCACTATGAAGAAGTCAGAGTCTTTAAAATAGTATGTGATGACTCTTAATTCCAGAGGGTAGGCTCTCAAAGACCCAGGGGAATATTCTCTTGTGGCTTGAAAACTTGGGAATTGCCATCTGCTGGACAAACTATGGCTGCGATGAGCAGCTGGAGCTCTGTTTTCCCCCTTCCTTCCTAAAGAGATGAGGCAAGGCACTTTGCCTTCTTTTGCCATTTGGGCCATATAAAATTCCCAGCTGATACAGCCCTGAGAATGGCGTATCTTGGCTTCCGAGGCACAAAGTGCAAATCTGAAATGTATGAAAATACAGAGCCAAGGAAGTGGGAGGCAGCACTAGTGAATGCACGAGGTTCTTAGTTTTTTTCCACACAGATCCTATTTAATCTGATTCCAGGGACCAGCTGTAGGTCTCTTGCTCTGCCTTTGCTGCTGTTGATGCTTCATGGACCACAGTTTGGGAAGCTCTGCGCTAATGAGTACTGCTGGCCTGGCGCACTAGTGATACTGCCAGCAGTCAATCTTTATTACTTGGATGTAATTGGAAAGAAGGAGGGGAAGTAATAAAAATCAGAAATCCCTCATTACTGGCATAATTTTCCTTCCTTGCACTTCAACTTCAGTGGCACAGGTATGTTGTGTAAGAACTATGCAAATGTTTATATCATCTGGGAGACTGAGTGTGCAGGGCAGCTGGAAAAAGGAACAGCTTGATCTGAAAATTCATCATGGGGCATTGGATGGTCTTTGGGTGATCCTGGCCAAATTTCGCCAGAGGGTAGAGGCAGAGGGGTGTCTCTTCATTTCTTTGTACCTCATTGGGAAACCATCTGACATTATTAGCTTGTGAGGAGAGCTGTTAACTGAGTTTATTCCCAAAGCTGGGGAATTTTGTGAGAGAAGTTGATTTTGTTGAATTGGATTCCTTGTCCTTCATCTGCATCCTCCATCAGTCAGCTGAATGAGATTGATGGCTAAAACTGCCAGAAACTCTACAGATTGTTAGTGGCTGAGGACAGCAATCATTT